GCTGAGCAGCTGCACAGGCAGGAGCAAGGACATTCTCTCCTGGTGGCCACAGGTCATGGCCACATGCATGCCTCCTGCTGCCTTCTTCTCTCCATCTACACTGTGACCCGCACGTGTGATGGCTTGTGGTGGGCACATGCTGTGACTTGACATGTTACATGATATGTGCAAACGTAGCATTGCACTGAGTGATAGGTGTGTGTGTGATGTGCATGAACATGACACATATATGATGCCTACACATGTAGTATGTGTATGGTTTCTGATGTGTGCGAGGGGTATGATGAGTCCACACTTTGTGTGCACACATGATCTGTGCATCTGTAGTGTATACCACTGTATGCATGTGCACACAATTGTGTGTGTGAACATGTAAGGGAAGCAGGTAGGTCCTGCTTCTGCCTGCACCCACCTCTTGGACAGGAGCCCATCAGCAGTGGCCTAGCCCTTCTGACATGGACATTTTCTGCCCTGTCTGTATCACAAGCACACACATCCCAGGGCCCAAGCCTCCCCTTTTAGGGCTTTGCTGGGAAAGGGACATCTCAGAGGTCCCCATGGTTGAGAGGCCAGGTGGGGTAGATGGAGGCCACCATCAAGTCCTCCAGGAACAAAGGGACAGGCCTGGCTTCTTAATCTCCCCCAGGAGTTCTCCCGTTTCCATGAGGAGATCCTGCCCATGTTCGACCGCCTGCAGAACAACAGGAAGGAGTGGAAGGCACTGGCTGATGAGTATGAGGCGAGAGTGAAGGCTCTGGAGGAAGAGAAGAAGAAGGAGGAGGACAGAGCAGCCAAGAAAGGTCTGGGCCCTTGCCGAGGCCTGGAGCAGGCACTTTGTTAATCAAAGCAGCAAAGAGGCCAAGCATATAGCTCAGCAGTGCAGGGCTTGCCTGGCCAGCGCGAGGTCCTAACTTTGAGTCCCATTACCAAAAAAAGCAGCAAAGTGGCAGCAGCCATGCAGCAGTTAGACCTAGAGAAAGGCAGAGTGACACTGTGCAAGCAGCCTCTTCCCACAGTTGAGACCCAGGCTGCAAAGACTCCTCCTGCTCTCCAAGGAAGAGTCAAGCTCCCCAAACCCTCCCCAAGCACTTGTGTTCTGACCACAAGTGGAAATTTCTAAGTATTTTTGGAATATCTACCCATCACTCCATGTCACCCTAAGAAACAAAACTACAAACCTAAAACAAAAAACAGTAACCAAGGCCAGGCATGGTGGTGCACGCCTGTAATCCCAGCACATGGGAGGCTGTGAGTTCAAAGCCAGCCTGGGCTACATAGTGAGACCTTGTCTCAGAAAAAAAAAAAAAAAAAAAAAGTACCAAGCTACCCCAAAACAGAAAAACAAGCAAGCACCATATTGTCCAGAACCACCATTTCCACCCTACATCATGGGGATGTGACTCAGCTGGAGTCAGTGCACCCCCAAATCAGAGTCCCAGTGGCACTGCCTTGCTCTTGTCTGTCCTTCCCATCCCAGTTTGGTCTTCTGCTGTTGCCTGCTTTCCCTGCCACTGGGCAGGAGGCCAGCGTGAATAAGGCAGCCTCTGGGTTGCTGGAGGCAAGACTAACAGTAATCAGGGCACAGTGTCAACACAGGCTAAAGCTCTAAGACAGGCTCAGCCCAGCTAATCGGCTTGGGCTGGGTATGGACCACAGTCGGCCCCCTGTCCTGCAGGGGCCAGCAGAGGACACATGGAGTGCAGGGAGAGAAAGTGCTTGCTCACTGTCCATCTTCTCTTGCAGTGGGCATGGAAGTTTGCAATGGCGGCCCAGCACCTAAGTCTTCAACCTGCTGTATCCTGTGAACCACTGGCTCCCCACCACCATGCATCTGCTGGACTTGGGCTCTGCCTCTGGTTACGTGGTATATGAAGCAGAGGAAGTGCTGGGCATGGTGGTGCACACCTGTAATGCCAGCACTCAGGAGGCTGAGGCAGGAGGATCGCCGCAAGTTCAAGACCAGCCTGGGCTGCATAGTGAGTTCAAGGCCAACCTGGACTACATAGCGAGACCCTGTCTCAAAAAGAAGGAGGGAGGGAGGAAGAGAGGAAAGAAGGAAGGAGAGCAGAGGAAGTAACCAAAGATAATTTTGGATACGTTAAATTTTTTAAGGTTTGTTTTTATGACCTAAAGCCAACTATAACTTCAGTGGTGTAGCATGTTTGGTTTTTTTGGATAGTTCCCACAGGGAGATCTGTGAACAGGGTCTGTGAAGTCAGAAACCTGAGGGGAGACATTCAGAACAGCATGTGTACATATGTACATATATGTAGATAACGTCTATCCCATCTGCTCTAGTAAACATGCCCAGGAATTCAGAATAAAGAAAAAAACAGATCTCCCATTTTTTATGCGATGGAATTATTGTGGTGGGCTCGCAGTGTTGGACCCATCAGGAAATTGTGCCAAAAGGTCTGTTTGTGGCAATGAAGCTGTCAGAGGGGGGTCAGTAATAAACCCTGAGGTGGGGCCTGAAGCTGGCAGCGCTGCACGAGAGCTTTGCTTAGAGCACCTGTCACCTCCATTGACGATACTGGTGAGCCCAGAGAAAGAGGCATAAAGTCCTGCTGAACTTTACATTTGCCTCTGAAAGGGTTACCAGCTGGTGAAAAATAACATCCTTCTTTGAGACAAGTCTCATTACATAGCCCAGGCTGGCCTTGAACCCTCAATCCTCCTGCCCAAAATAGGAGTTGACACACATGAGCACCAAAGCATTTGCTACTTTCAGGCTGGACACTTCCCCGGGTGGGGTGAGGGGGCAACAGCTAGCACAAACACCTGCTCGCAGCAAGGGGGAGCTGGTTTAATCCTCACCTCACCTCACCTCAGAGACTTCTGATACAAGAGCCCAAGACTGGGACCAGGAGCCTCAAGGCTCCAAGGGACCCTGCAGCAACTACTGGGGACCCACAAGCTGGGACAACAACCTGGGGTGCAGGCATCATTTTCACCCACAGAAACCAAAAGGTGCTTTAAAATGTTTGAGTGCTGTTTCTCTTCACATTTGCAAATAAACTCACTTTGCAAACAAAAACTGGGACCTAAGCATAGGAAATCTGCTCAAGGCACACAGCTAGGAAGCAGCAGCATCCTCCTATTCCACTCCAAACCCCCAAACCAGGACTGGTTTGCTCACCACCAGCAGAAGCCCGCGAGCCCAACCTGGTGAGGGACAGCGGCTTGGCACACACCCCAGCCCACCTAAACAGCCAGTGTCAGGAGGTGGTCAGTCTCAGGGCCACCATGAACACCTCCCCAACATCCAGGAAGGGTTGAGAGCTGGGGACACAGAATCCACCTTCCCCGTGTAAGGTCATGAGCCCATCCCACCCCCACCCCCACCCCCATAGCCTCCTCTGCCTGCCCAGGGACCTGGGCTGCTGACAGAAGCGCAGACTCAACAGCACCTGGGAGATGGGACCCGCTCCCTTACATCCCAGACCCCGCCACTGGACACAAAGTAGAACAGGCATTGTGCCTGGAGTTTGTGAGTTGTATTTTGGGTCTAGGGTGGGTAATGCTCCTTCATTCCTTTGGAATCTCTCCCAGCCCCCTGCCCTGAGAAAAGCGGCACAACTACTGAACTAGGGTCCAGGAAATGGATAGCTTGGGGCAGCAATGCCAGGGAGCCAGAGCATCATGTAACTTGGAAGCTTTATTAATCTGCTGGCGCTGGGGCAATGCGAACTGCGGGCACCTCTCACTTCAGAATGCTGTCATCCCGGGCTGAAAGGTTAAAAGAAATACTGTGTTGCAACTTATGAAGCCATCAGGCCACCTACAAGGAGCTCTTCAGAGTTCCAGCTTTAAACATATCAGAACCACGTGCAAGAGAAGCCGTCACACGGGCGACCTGAAACTCCAGGAGGGCGGGAAAGGGGTCAGCAGAGGCAGCTGACAGCCTCAGGGCGGTGCAGGCACTGCCGGTGCAGCCCGGGGCCTAAGCTCCCCCAAAGCCAACTGCGACGCCCCCGAAGCCGCTCCCGGGAGGCCGGCCCACCCCTTCCCCCGCAGCAGCCCTTCGCTCCCGAACGCCTGGGGGCAGGCTGCTCCGGGAGGCGCCCTCGGTACCTTCCGCCAGCTCCCTCTCGATGCGTTTCAGCTCATCCTGCCTCTTCTTCTCCTCTGCGGCTACCCTCCTCTCTTCCTCTGCCCGCGGCTTCAGGTAACCTGGGGGTGGGGTGGCACTGAGCTCCCTCCCGAGACGCTGGGTTCAGGAGCCCGTGCTGGAGGCCGCGACCGCACGCGCTGGCTCCCCGGCCCGCC